AACCTATTATTATTGCTTATTGTAATTATCGCATTTAAATTTAAAAATTTAAATCCTAAAAAAATGTAAATTAAAAAATTTATTTTTAAAAATTTACATTTAAAAGGATTTAAAAAAATTTAAATCCCAAATTTCTACAACAATCCAGAATCATCTAACGGTCGCCATTTTGCAAAGAGTTTCCAATAGAAATTATATAAGAAAAGTATGAAAAATATATATGAAAAATAGGAAAATACCGGCAATTAATAATACGAGAAAGTTTGTATTAGAATCTGCTTCCACGAACTATTAAAGCAAAAAGATAAAAACCCTTCAATAAACAACGCGTTAGTAACAAAATTGATGTAAATAAAGTTTTTAAACAACGTATATAACAGAAATTCGCTCCCAACATACATTTTTACTCAAAAAAGTTTCGTTCTTTTGATAGCGTTCTGTTTCTTTAAAATTAATCTGCTAAATAGATAAAAATGATATTTAAATTGCATTCAGGAGTTTAAAAAATCTGTTACTTGGAAAAAAATTCTGTTATAAAAGTAACATTTTGTTACAAAAGTAACATTTTCTTACACAAGTAACATTTTCTTACATAAGTAACATTTTGTTACATATGTAACATTTTGTTACAAAAGTAACATTTTGTAACATAAGTAACATTTTATTACACAAGTAACATTTTGTTACATATATAACATTTTGTTACAAAAGTAACATTTTCTTACATAAGTAACATTTTGTTACATATGTAACATTTTGTTACAAAAGTAACATTTTCTTACATAAGTAACATTTTCTTACATAAGTAACATTTTGTTACATATGTAACATTTTGTAACAAAAGTAACATTTTGTTACATATATAACATTTTGTTACAAAAGTAACATTTTCTTACATAAGTAACATTTTGTAACATAAGTAACATTTTGTTACACAAGTAACATTTTGCCCTACAAGTAAGCTTCTGTTACTAAAATAAGAGCAGGAGGCTCTAGGAGACATCAATAACAGCAGACGCGATGCTGGTGCAGCAATAACAGCTGTTGTTGAACAGCTGACGCTCCTGTTATTACCTCCACCATTCTTTCTTTCTTTCTTTCTTTGAATGCAGAGGTAATTGCCGGCGAGGGAAGGACTGAGGGAAGCACTCGAGGGTTTACCCTCACTCGGCTTGATCTTCTCTCCCCTTAGATTGCCATTAAATGTGAGGGTAATCGAGTGACGATTTGCATCATCGGTTATTTGTCAATCACGCAATCGCGTGGATAACTTATTTTTCGTAGCACGTGCTTTAGCGAGTGCATTTATAGTAAAATGAGTGGCGGTGTGTGAGTGGCGGTGTGTGAGTGGTGGTGTGTGAGTGGTGGTGTGTGAGTGGTGGTGTGTGAGTGGTGGTGTGTGAGTGGTGGTGTGTGAGTGGCGGTGTGTGAGTGGTGGTGTGTGAGTGGTGGTGTGTGAGTGGTGGTGTGTGAGTGGTGGTGTGTGAGTGGTGGTGTGTGAGTGGTAGTGTGTAAGTGGTGGTGTGTGAGTGGTGGTGTGTGAGTGGTAGTGTGTAAGTGGTGGTGTGTGAGAGGTGGTGTGTGAGTGGTGGTGTGTGAGTGGAGGTGTGTGAGTGGTGTTGTGTGAGTGATGGAGTGTGAGTGGTGGTGTGTGAGTGGTGTTGTTTGAGTGGCGGTGTGTGAGTGGCGGTGTGTGAGTGGTGGTGGTGTGTGAGTGGTGGTGGTGTGTGAGTGGTGGTGTATGAGTGGTGAAGTGTGAGTGGTGGTGTGTGAGTGGTGGTGTGTGAGTGGTGGTGTGTGAGTGGTGGTGTGTGAGTGGTGGTGTGTGAGTGGTGGTGTGTGAGTGGGGGTGTGTGAGTGGTGCTGTGAGAGTGGTGGTGTGTGAGAGGCGGTGTGTGAGTGGCGGTGTGTGAGTGGTGTTGTGTGAGTGGTGGTGTGTGAGTGGTGTTGTGTGTGTGGTGGTGTGTGAGTGGTATTGTGTGAGTGGTGGTTTGAGTGGAGTATGATGCGCTGAGTAAAGATAATATATTTATTTCACCAAATTAAACCTCGCCCTCTATAGAGCGCTAAGGTTTTCGTGAATAAATATTTTTAGCTTATATTTTTCGGCGCGAGAGAGAGAGAAAAACTGTGCCACCGACTCATACCTACTGAGCACTTGGTTGAAATCAGAACTCAGGTGGACAATTTTAGCACAGACTAAACTATTCTCGCCGTCATGAACATTGGGATGCTGTTTTGGGACACATGTTGGATATATGCTGGGCATGTGATGGGCATATAATGGGCATATATTGGGCATGTGATTGGCATATATTTGACATATACTAGGCATATATTGGACATATGATGGGTATGTGTTGGGCATGTTTTGGGTATAGGCATGTGTTGGGCATGTTTAATAAAAAATGCCAGTTTTTATTTAAATACTAACGGTTTCTTCGATGATGTTAGAAATTTGTTAAATTAGAAATGAATTTTTAGTACCTTTTTAGTTCCAGCTACTTTAGACTCAAGATCCAATTTTCCTTAATTTTTTTTTTTGCAAGAGCTAATTTTTGCATTGTGAAGTGGAATCAAAACTGCAAGTTCACAGAAGGAATTTGTGTAAAAAATTCATGAACATTCAAAATAGGCTTCGAGGCTTGAAACTATGAATGCGTAATATTTCTGGAGATAAAGTGATCACCTTAGAAGATAAAATAATTTTCTGATAACTAAAATTTCAAATACATTACCTGAGTATAATTAATTTTTGATTGAAATCAGCGCTTTCCCCCGAACCTTCAGAAGCCAACGTTTAAACACTTCATAGACGCATTAGGGCTAACGCTCAAACTATTATCGCCTGTGATGGCAATAATGGTTTGTCTGTGGCAACTCAACCATTTGCCGAAACCATTATTATACTCGCAAGAATCACATGCAAATACCTCCCTTATTCGCTGGTACAGACGGGCTATTTTCGAGTGTCAGGAACCGAGGGAAATGCAAGGTATTGCAGGTGGCGTGGCGCGGTACGGGAAATACCACCTTATGCCACAGGTCTTTAAGGCTGATTATGGCTGAGCCTGGAGCGCGGTGGCAGCCTTGGCTCAGCCAACTGGCGGTGGCAATTGGAACGGCCGATTAGCGCCGACAAACATTCATTAGCATTTTATTGGGCTCTCATAGGCCTTAATTGAGGGGGGTGAGGGGGTGGCAGGTGGAAGGATGGAGGGGAAAGGGGCTGTAAAGGAGGAGGAGAGTGGGAGGGGGGGTTTCTGAAAGGGGAAGTGCTAAAGATGTTACACTTTGGAGCAGGGAAGTTAAAAGGGGAAGGAGAGGGAGAGAAAGACGATGGAATTACAGAGAGAATAATAGAACAGAGAGGAAGAGGAGTGGGGTGGGACGAGGGGGAGGAATGAGGCTTATATTGCCTTTGTTGAATAGAAACTAAATTTTCTGAAGTTTTTTCATATCATTTCGAATATTTTAATTTATTTAGAAACAATTAATCCGCATTGTTTATAGCAAAGCAGATTGTTTATATATTAGTGTGTTCAAGATATTTATTTATGTATTAGCACCTGCCGCTTCTGGTTAATAATATGTTTTGATAAAAAGTATAACGGTATTTCTTGATATTTTCACTATAAATTGGAAATTATTTTATCAGGTAATTTAGTTTATATTAGATTACTTTCTCATACTTGTCGTAAGTTTTTGGCAATAAAACGACTGATGACTTACAATAGTTTTATTAAGACTTCATTATTGTTTCATGGGAAATTTAAATGACTGTTTTAATCTCAGACATGTTGAATTGTCGGATAGCGAACTTAAGATGCCTACGTACACTTTTCGGTGGCCAGCGATAAAACTACCATCAAGTTATATAAATAATATTTTATTAATGTTTAGAGCCGAAAAAGTAGAGGTTTATTATTGTATATATTTGGTTAGCTGGAAGTCAGATATTTTAACCCGACTACCCTATTGAAAATTATGGTCATACGTCAGCGTCCCTCCTTCACACACAGAAAAATGAATGTGTTATATTGTCCCATTAGCGACACACTTTTTTATCCATAGAACAAGCAGGCAGAGAGCGGACGTAGCACTGATACGCCCTTTTGCTGGGCCAAACTGAGTCAGGATGACTCACTCAAGTGTATAAAGTGCATCGCTATTTGATGACAGTCCCACTTATATCATTGAGTGTAGTCTCATCAATTGTTGGTTGTTACTTGCCGAGGTTATTGGTTGTTACTTGCCGAGGTTATTGGTTGTTACTTGCCGATGTTATTGGTTGTTACTTGCCGAGGTTATTGGTTGTTACTTGCCGAGGTTATTGGTTGTTACTTGCCTATATTATTGCTAGGTACACAGAAGAGAATAAACTGTACACATAAAGTATATACAATCGTTGCTTATAACAGTCAATAATCAGTCTATGTATAGTCTATTGTCACGCGCGGTCAATGTTCATTGATAATAGTTAGTCTATGAATAATACTTTGTGTGCAGTCTACCATTTTTAGCATTAATTAGTCAAGATACAGTCTATTTTAGCAATAATTAGTCAGTGTATATATAGTCTATAGGGTTGGTGCAGTCACGGGCCAATTTCAACTATAAAATATATATACAGTTCAATAATAAGTGTATTTACAGTACAATAATGAACCTATTTACAGTAAATGAAAATCGGTAATATTTTTCTTAATTGCAGTCCATCGTCGGTGTCACGAGTATTTTTTATTATGCATAGATTAACTTACGATGTACAATTACTATACATTATTTATACCGTTGTAATGATTTTATTAACTTATCAGCCACATGGCTGTGCGTCAGTCATGTGGCTGGTCATCAGCCACATGGCTGGCCATCAGCCACATGGCTTGCCATCAGCCACAAGGCTTGCCATCAGCCACATGGCTGGTCATCAGCCACATTGCTGGCCATCAGCCACGTGGCTGGTCATCAGCCACATGGCTGGCCATCAGCCACATGGCTCACACCATGGCCGTGGATGACTCGAGATGTTCCCTCGCCCTCAGCCTCAGGGCCACTATGGATGTGGACCTGAAATCCTCCTGGGGGAGTCCTGGAGGAGTGAGGGATGTCTCCCCCAACCCCTCAGGGGAGAGGGGGGCAGAGGGACCCCCATCCCCCTGCCTGGGGGTCCTGGAGAAGCCGTTGGGGATGCCGGCGGCCGCCGCCGCCGCCACGATGCTGGCAGACGATATGGCGGCGGGGGAGATGTTGGGGGAGAAGATGGGGGAGGATGTGAGGTGATGGGGGGAGGAGGAGGGAGGGGGGAGGTATGAGGGATACCCTGAATGATGGGCTGCCAGGAAGCCGTTCATGGCAGAATTAAAGCCGTTCATGGCCGTATTAAGGCCGTTTAGAGGCGAATTTAAGCCGTTCATGGCTGTACTCAGGCCGTTTAAAGGCGGATTAAGGCCGTTCATGGCCGTGTTAAGGCCGTTTAGTGCCGGGTTGGAGCCGGTAAGATGTGTGGAGTGGTGAAGGGGGTGGTGGGGAGGCAGAGGGGGCAGGAGGGGGGGCAGGAGGTGGTCGAGGGCAGTAGGGGGGCGATGTAGCAGCCCCAGGCCACCCTCATGCAGGCGGTACTGCGCGGCCTCCATCTTCTCCTGCCGCCGCCACTTGGCGCGACGGTTCTGGAACCACACCTGGGGAGGGGCCTACATCATTACCATCATCACCATCAACACTACATCATTACCATCATCACCATCAACACTATATCATTACTATCTTTACCCTCTCACTGCGTTATCCTTATCTTTACCCTCCCACTGCATTATCCTTATCTTTACTCTCTCACTGCATTATCCTTATCTTTATCCTCTCACTGCATTATCCTTATCTTTACCCTTTCAACGCATTATCCTTATCTTTACCCTCTCGCTGCATTCTCCTTATCTTTACCCTCCCACTGCATCCTCCTTATCTTTACCCTCTCACTGCGTTATCCTTATCTTTACCCTCTCACCGCATTATCCTTATCTTTACCCTCTCACTGCATTATCTTTATCTTTACCCTCTCACTGCGTTATCCTTATCTTTACCCTCTTTTGCCTCTTGTCACACTCACCTCGATTTTCCCCTCACTTTCTCATTCTCTATTTTTCCTTTTTTCCCCATTTTCTTCCCTTCCACGTCTCAAAAAACTCCCTCCTCATATTACCTTCACATTCTCTCATACCCTTTCTTTCTATTCCCTAATTTCATTACCTCTTCATCAGCTGCTATTTTGCCCTTTCCTTTCAAAATATTCCCACCGCAATATTCCCCTTTATTTCCTATTCTTTCCCCCCCTCTTTTTACCTTCTCTTTCCCCTCTCTTTTTCCTCTCATTTCACCTCTCTTTACGTATTTATTATTCATCCCATTTTTTCCTCACCTTCTTGCTTTCGTTCCCTACAGTCCTTACCCTCTTTATTCCCCCTCTTTTTACCCTCTCCATTCCCATCTCTTCCTCCTCTTTTTCCCTATCACTTTCTCCATATTTTCCCTCTCTCTTTCCCCTCTTTTTCTCCTCTCTTCCCCCTCTCTTTCCCCTCCCTTTCCCCTCTCTCCAAACCGCGATCAGCTCTCCTGTTGATCCCTCTGATCTTGCGGCTCATTTGCTGCGGTGTTCACTGAATGTTCCCTCAGCACTCCCTCAGCACTCCCTCAGCGCTCCCTCAGCACTCCCTCAGCACTCCCTCAGCACTCCCTCAGCACTCCCTCAGCACAACGTGCTGCGCATGGCATGCGTTCACACGCGCGTTAGTTGCGCATTACGCGCGGTGTTACGCACGCAGCCATTCGTGTCACCATCATCGCTCCTATCATCCACTAACATGGCTCATATCATCCGCTATTATCGCCGCTATCATCTACTATTATCGACCTTATCATGGTACCATTGGCTTATAATCCATTATCATCGCATCCATCATCTGCTATCGTCGTTCCTATCGTCCTTTATCATCTGGCAACCTTCTGAATCACTGAAAAAAGTAAAGCTCGATACAATATATTGTGTTGTATACTGGCGTACTAAGTGTAATTGTATATTGGCGTACCAAATTTAACTGTATCTTTTTATTTTTTGTGGGTATTTTATGTAAGTTCATTTGTTTTCGAAAACCATTTACGGTGTGAAGAATGAAGAGAAAAATTCATAGAGACATTGAGAGAAAGTTGCTATAAATTATGATAGATATAACTATATATAGAATGAGATATAATATATATAGTAATAGGGTAGAAATGCGGCATATAAATTAATGTTACTATCGAGGTTAGTAGTAGTGCTACAATTGAATAATTAATTGTGATTAATTGTAATTAATAAATTAATTAATAAGTGCCGATCATAGCGCTAACAAAGCCATTAATGCCCTTAAGAAAGCCCCAATAGAGCCAAAACAGAACCCCAACAGGGTTTTATTTTAGAGCAAACTAATGATAACCAGAAAACTCCACGGTGATCATGCCTAACATTTCAGTTACTTTCCCTATGGCTAACCGGGGATATTGTAACAGCACAACAGGGGATATTGTAACAGCACAACAGGGGATATTGTAACAGCACAACAGGGGATATTGTAACAGCACAACAGGGGCTGTTGTAACAGCACAACAGGGGATATTGTAACAGCACAACAGGGGCTGTTGTAACAGCACAACAGGGGATATTGTAACAGCACAACAGGGGATATTGTA